CCCCCTCCCAAAAAAAAAAAAAAAACATACCAATATAGGCAACTTGTTAAGGCCCCTATACCATTCCACCCCCCCGGTCCCCCTTAAGTGAGCTTAGCTCACCCTGAATGAGCCAAATTAAAAAGCAGGAATCTTGAGGTGATAGTGCAGAAGAGGAGGTGGCCGGGTAACCCGGTAATCCAACATATAGATGGATATATACATATACATATATATATATATACATATATACATATATATATATAAACCATATATATATATATAGAGATGATGGGGCGATCGAAGCTTAATGCATGATGCGAACCTAAATATATTTCTGTTGTTGTTTCTTTCCTGCTGCTCTGTATTGAGAGGGTATTAGGTGTCCTTGTTTCGTGGGCCCCCTTATCCGTGGAGTGTCAGTCTCTGTGGCTTCTCCTGCAGGGCCTCTCCCTAAGACCTATGATCTGAGCTTCAAATACCAAGGGATCACAGATTGTCAAACACCCCGCGCGTGCGCGCAGTCGTCGAATCACAGCGTGGGCTCTCATGCCAAGTACAGGTTGCTGCTAAGGAACATGGACTCAGCTTCTGCAGCAGAATGATAAATTAAGTAACATGCTTTCCTCGTTATGTTAGGCTAACTCGAATTCCGGTACGGCAGCCCAAATGAAGGAGAAGGGCCTACACCCCTAACCAAGCCTGGACTGTAGCACCCACCATGGTTGCCCCTTACCAGGGATTAGTCAACTCCAATAAGCCAAGTGCCGCTAAAGAACATCAGAAAACCTGCTAATTCTATACAGACATTACAGCGTGATCGTAGCTTTTTTAGGCATGGTCTGGGATGCTGTCTCCGGGGGCATTCCGGGAAACATATGATGCTGAGGCATAGAAATCTCTGTTTCAAGCGGCTGGGCTCACTGAGACTTAAACACTGAACTACTGTCCTGTTGCTTGCTAACAGAGCGGGGCCATTGCACTTTGCGCTTTACGCCTTCACTCTGGGATGCCATGGGCAAGCCATGTCATGGGGCAGGGTATCGAGCTTGCGCCAAGATTCCTAAACCCAAATGCCTAAGCCCACTCCAAACCCACTTGTCCTTGTGGTGCTGCTGTGCGTCCAAGTTGTGGAGGTCGTCACTGAAGTTGTCGAGGTTCTGCTGAGAGTGAGGCTGCTGGTGGTGCTGGACAAGCTTGTGCTGGAGGTCCTTGTCCAACTTGTCCCTGTCGTGCTCGTGGTTGTGGTCTTGGAGCTCGTGCTGCTACTGCTGCTACTGCTACTCGTCGTGCTGGTGCTGCCACTGGTGCTACTGGTGCTGCTGCTACTAGTGCTGCTTGTCGATTTTGTTCTGCTGGTAGAACTGGTGCTGGTTGTCCACGTTGTCGTTCCGGTGGAACTGCTGCTGCTTGTCGACCCTGTTTTGCTTGTAGAGCTGCTGCTGGTGCTGGTGCTGCTGGTGCTCGTCATGGTGGTGCTGCTGGTGCTGCTGCTGCTGGTGCTGCTACTGCTGGTGCTGCTAGTGGTTGTGGAAGTCTCGCTGGCAGTGCTGCTACTGGTGCTGCTCCCCGTGGTTGAAGTGCTCCGGGTACTGCTGGTGCTGACAGTGCTGCTCCCACTTGTGGTAGTTGAGAACGAGACCGTTGTAGATGTGCTGCTGGTCGTCTGTGTTGTTGAAGTTGTACTGCTGGCTGTGGAGCTCATGGTGGTGGAGGTCGTTAAAGTTCGTGTCTCTGTTGTGCTGGAAGATGTGCTCACGGAAGAAGTGGTGCTTATCGAACTGGTGATGGACTGGGTAGAGGAGGTGGTTGTCCTGGAAGCACGGACTTTTAAGCTCACTTGCAAGATGTCACCCCGCAGCCGCCTTGCAAGTTTCATGTCCCAGAAGCTGTCCATAGAGCTGTACTATATAGTCCCCTATACAAACCCCTTTACGGACATTTTTAGACTCCAGTACATGTGTGCCGAGCATCGACGTTGTCATCAAGGTGCCGAAGTCCAGTACGGGCAGGTGGTCACCCAAAAGTGATGAATCCTGGCCACGGTTTGTTGTGTCGCCATACCCGAGCCACTCGCCATATCCCATACACTTCACGGTGGCATCGTCCAACAGAGCACACTGAAAACCTCTTCCGATGGTTATGTGCTGAGCAGTTCTGCCTGTGCCGTAGTTTGTAGCGGGGAGATTATCTCCCATCTCACCTGATTCATCCCCGACACTCCATTCCTGGGTGCATGCTCAGGAATTGAAACCAAACTGTTATAGTATTTGCATGCATTCTCTCTAGAACGGTTTAGGATTTAGGGCGCAGTGATCAGGATGCCCGAGTATTTACCATAGCACTGTAGCGTGGCAAGTTCTCTTGCTTTCCTGAACAGCAACCCAGATTCATCACTCGGCGTGTCGTCTCCGTGGCCCAGCTTGCCGTTTCCAGCGTTCCCCCAACACCTGCAGTCGCTGTAGACCAATAATAAGAAATTTGTCAAGCCCCCTAGGGGTTTCTAGGATAACAAACAGGAAAAATATTTCCTAAGGCAACTACAGACACTTCGTCCTGTCATCTGAAAGAATTGCGCAAGTCATGTCCCATCCTGCAAAAACCTTCTTGACAGTAAGGCCAGTGCCCAAGTCCACTGTGGGTATCGTAGCCATCTTTCGGTCGTTTCCCCCTCGATCATGCCGATCACCGTAGCCAAGATGGCCAAAGTTAGCATAGCCCCAGCATTTGAGGTTGCCATCATCCAAGATCGCCTAGGCAAAGATCTGGCAAAGAACATCCACTAATTTGTTCATAATTTTGATCATCAAGGTGCCTCCTATCTGAGGATGCAAGGCTTCTTAGCATAAATCAATATTTCAAGCAAACGCTGCCTGGAAACACATGTGTGTTTGTAGCCTGCCACAAAGTCCGTGACCGTCCTTCCAGCACCCACGTCGATCGCAGGAAGATAATCGCCCATCTGGTTTGCACTTTTTCCAATGTCACCGTTGCCGTCCTGCCTTGGGCAGCTGAACACAGAGCCGCAATCCCTGAATGCCGCAATGGCCCTGGAAGCCCTCACACTTCGACACATCTTTCCTCATGTGCAGGCCAGGGCGCCCACATTGCCCGTTGTAATTGCCCCCCCAACACTTCAGCGTATTGTCATCCAGGAGGGCACATACATGGCTGTCTCCTTGTTCCGGCCCCCCCTAAACAGTGCGCCCAGGATCCTACAAGTAGAACCACTCAGCGCTACCACGCATCAGGTATAGAGTTTAGAGTTTAAATTTATCCGTTATCCGCCTTCTTTTCTCTGAATGGCGGAGCCGAGCGTCCACACCCAATCTTTTGCGCGGTTCGGCCGGTTCCCAAATCGACGAAAGGAAGCGCGTCCCCCATTTGTGCTTCGGTGCTCGAACGGTCGGTTGTGTCGCCATAGCCCAACCTAAGTTCTTAGTGCCCGAAGGCGAACATTATGTGTTTGGGTTTATGCTCCACCAAGACAAGTTAACCAGTCCTCGTCAAGTTGTCAGCAGCATCTAGAGTCGAGACCACTGCTAGCCACTACCATCATCATTGACATGCCTATTTCCACACTGCCGAATCCATGCATTGCCGGCTCTGGTTTGTGGGCCCTTACTGGATTCTGCCACTTGTTTGCTGGGATGCCTCCGAATCGGATCCCCATTTGTTGCAAAGCACCAGGTAGTTAAGGTATTCACATTGAAAGTCGCGTCCTTACCATTGAGCTATTCGACCGTACTCTGAGCTCCTGGTCCCTAGTATCTCCCTCAATCCGATTGACCACTACCTTCAGAAGGAGGGGGGTGACATCCCCATCTCCCCTCTCCCAAGTATGGAATATTTCAGAAAATAGCTTGAATTCTTCTGATGTGGGGGAAGACATCTGTGAAGTTTCACCTGACTGGTTCGGATGCGACATCATGTAACATGAAGACATGTGTGGCTGTGAGAAGGCTCTCCTTTTTTCTGGCTGGTAGGCCGCACACGTGTTCCCCAATGCGCTGCATTTGTCACTGTGTCCCCCCCAACCTAGACCCGCAAGGCCGGCAGTGCTGTTGTGTGCACCTCACGCAGGAATCGCAGAAAGTCTTTCCGTGGCCGGGTCTCGGCCGGCGCCACAGCAGCAAACTTCGAGTAAACGAACCACGAGTAGTCCTTGAAAATGCTCCGAAAGTACCTCACCCATTCCCCTCAGCCATTTGCCGAGACACTTCCCGGAGCATTTTCAGCACGAGGCAACCCAAGGACTACTCGTGGTGCGTCTACTCGATGTTTGCTGCTGTGGCGCCGGCCGAGAGTCGGCCACGGAAAGACTTTCTGCGATGCCTGCGTGAGGTGCACACAACAGCACCGCCGGCCTTGCCGGTCTATTTCACCATGTGACCCCCCCCCCTCAAATTTCAAGCAGAAGGGACTCGTGATCCCTATGGTAGTCCCCTAAATAATCCCCCGATTGAAGCGCTCTTTAAGGAGTTTAAAGCTACAGTTCATTGAGCCCAGCGCCGTCGATTAAGAAGGCTTCATGAGCTTGGAAAAAGGAGGCCGGGGCTCCGTCGCGAGCTGCGCTTTAATACATGACTTGAGGGCTCAGGGCTTACCCCCAAAACCACAAACTCCTAAATAGCATGCTAATCTTCATTCTCTTTTCCATTAGCATTTACCAGGACCTAGACCCTATAAACCCAAAGCCGACTTGAGGGTGTACCTGCGCACCCTGCGTTTTTAGGGTCAGTTACAAAGGAAGACCCTACTCCAAGTCATACTTGTTGGGATGTGTTGGGACGCAGGAATGCATGGACCCTTCTCCATAAGCAAACAGGACAGACTTTCAGCTCCAGCTGATTCTGTTGAATTTCTATGGAATTTAAGAACCCTAAGCCCTAAACCCCTAAACCCTAAACACCTGCGAGGAACTGGAGCTTCCACTTCTCTCAAGTCAATCTATCTTGTATCTGTTACAAAAAAGAGAGGGCTTTATGCAGTTCGTAGGAACATACGTTCGGCTTGGCTCTACCAGTGGCCAAATTCGGGAAAGGTTGGTAGTTTTGGGCTCGTTTCTCAAGAGGGTGTCTCAAACCCATGGCCCTACGATTCGCCATATAGAACCCTTAGTAAACTGGCTCCGCATTACAGTAGACGTCTTTGATTGTTGGCTCCTCAACTTTCTTGCCATAATCCCTCACTGAATATGCCTCTTCTGCAAAGGCAATCACAAGTGCTGAGTTTCTTGTTTTCTGTTCAGGAAGGCAAGTAATGCATTGATTTTTCAAAAAACGCGTGGAAACTGTGCCTCAACTTTCCTTCTCAGATCCATGGTTCTTGTGATTCACCATATAAATCTCTAAGTACATTTGCTGCGTTCTGAGCGGAAACTCTGAAATCTTGGCTATTCGCCTTTCTTTATGGACTGTATGTCAAAATTAAGAGGAATTCTCAAGTCTTGAGCCTCTTTTATCCCCTACATAACTCCTGATGGAACGTGTCTCAAATTTTAGCAGGAACTAGTATATATTCAGAATGCAGATTTAGGTTCCCCAAGGACTCACTGTCTTCATGTTACAGAACTTGACTCTGAAGCTGGTCTCTTATGGCATGGATGCCGACGTGCAAAACGCAGGGGCACACCTACACCCTTTAACCCCTAGGTCCTATAAATGTAAACCCATAAATCCTAAACCCTTCAAACTCTAAACCCTAAGCCCTACAAGCCCTATAAGCCCAAAGCCCTAGAGTTGGAAGCTGCAACAAGGCAGCTTGCCACCATTGTTCCAGCCCCAGCACTTCCTTGGTTGCTCTTAAGGAACTTACTTTGAGCTACAATGTGGAGAAGCCATATCAATTATGACATATACCCCTTACCGTAACTGCTAAGGAACCTGATTTAAGTTACATACCGAGGAAACCGTAGTAACTACCTTAATTTTGAACAGTGTAGCTTCCTTAACAGCAACCCAGCTTCACCAGGTTGTTGTCCAACAGCGCGCACGCATATCGGTCGCCGACGGCGATCTGCCTCTGGGCATCCACCCTAAACCCTAAACCCTGAACCCTGAACCCTCAACCCTAAACCCTAAGCATCGGACAACGGAATGGAAGGAGCTAAATCCGGCTTGCGGGTTTACTGTAGGGGCCTTAATTAGAATAGGGTGTTGGTTATACTAGAATTACAATAAGGAACCTCCAAAACAGTATAGGTAATTATCTAGGCTCCTATATTACAGTGCTTTGGGCTTAGGGTTGTTACAGGGTTTATAGGGTTATGGGTTCAGGGTTTATAGGGTTTAGGGCTTATAAGGCCTCTAGGGTTTGGGTTTGTCAGGATATGTAAGGCACATCTGTCATTACTCAGATTCTAAGGAATGTCACACCAAAACGATTCCTGGGGTACACCCACAGCTACTGTAGGGGCCTTAATAATTGGAAAAGGGTTCTGGGGCCCATTATATTATAAATGTAATATGGAACCCCCAAAATAATATAGGTTGATAAGGCCGCTACATTACACCCACAGCTACAAGCTCTGGGAACTGTTGATGAGCGCTCAGCCAACAAGCTGATCCGAAGAGGCCTTCCATACTGATGATACCGAACCCGGCATGCATAATGTAAGGGCCTTACTGATTACCAATACTATTGTGGGGGTTCCTTAATTATAGTTATAGTACAATCAGTATAGCATACGCCAAAACTCTATTCTGATTATTAAGGCCCCTATATCGACCTGAAGACCTGAGGAAATTCTGAAATTGAGGATTGAAAGGACCTGTAGGATTGAAGGTATCAGCAGTGTTTCTTGACTAGCCTTGATTTCCTCATTGAATCCTCACTCAGCCACCCTCAGCCCTGCTGGCCGCCCTAAATGCCTACAGCTTACTAGTCTGAATTCCCCAGTTGAACCTACACCCAAAGCCTTGCCCCAGGCCACTACATTGGGAATACATAGACGTCCGAACGTACTTGCCACTACCTCTCTCGTGGTCACTATCAGTGGGTGCGGGCCGAACCTGACCTAAGCCGCGGATTAAGCTGTAGGTTCTATGGAAGCCTAAATAATTACCAATACTATTCCTTGGGGTTCCTTACCATAACTATACTATGAAGGCACCCAAAACGCTATTCTACTTATGAAGGCCCATACAATAAATGGGGCGACAGGTCGAGCCTGCTGACCGAGAATCAACGTTGGGGCCGTCAACCCGCAACTCGGCGTAATTGTAACATTGCCCTGGGAGCCTATGCTGGAACTGCTGTTCCTGAAAAGGAAGATCTTCGTAGAGAGACGGAGAGCGATATGATTATATATATATATGTACATATGTATATACACATTGTTTGAGAAGCCCCATATGTGAATGGTGAGAATTCTGGTCTCCTTGCGGGTCTCCAATTTACATGGTCTCTACACTCCATGGTGTTACCAAGCCGGAATCATGGTTTTCACAACTCTTCACGTAGGGTCGGTCTTGTATAGTCTCCGGTTCGCTTCCCGACTAGCGGTCAATAACCACCAGGTCAGTGGATTCTCGGATGGTTTATGTACGCCTTGATTTTGAAATTACAATTCAACAGTTCGGCTCCCTACTTTGGTACCCAAGCGGGGGTCAGGCAAATCGATGCATTGCCCGAGTTGCTTGGCAGTTCGACCTGATCCTAAGCTGATAGCCGGAAGGAAGTCGCCAAGCTCGAACGCATCGTCGCCGATCTTCGAATCGGTGACGCCGATGTCGGATAAGACCTGATCCAACGCGAAACCACGCCACACCCACTTTTGGGAAACGGCTCAGTAGATATACTTTTACTCACCCTACCCGCTTGAAAGGATAGTAGTGGTTTTGCGCGACTTTTTCGGGTTCCATATTAATAGCGTATTTATTTTTATTAGCAGAAGCATTGCTCAATTTGGGAAAACTTCATAGCAGACGTTACGGATTCACCCAACCCCCAAAAAAGCTAAAGTTTGGACAATACAGTCCAGGCCTTTGCAGCCACCTACCTCACTGGCGCGATCACGCACATAATCCGCGAATAAAGTCTGCATGATCACTGCTTGATTTCTTTGCAATGCCAGGACTACCGCTCAAGATATTGAGGGTTTTCAGGTTGAGGGTTTAGGGGTTGAGGGTTGGTAGCCGCCGCGACACTGTGTCCGGTTGTCCGGATGCGCCGCGCCGTTTGCAGTCTGTCCGTAGCATTTGACCAGGCCATTGTCCATTAGAACACACATCCTGGGCTTGTTGGGCTCCCGGTAATGGTGTCTGCATACTTGGAGGTTCATGGGTAGTTCGAACGGGCATATAAGTCCTTGCATATGGGTTAAAACCATAGTTATCCTACTTGTAACCCTACTTAATAACTACCCATGATCCTACAAGTAAATCCCCTGAGACCCCATTAACATAACATTCCCTCGTACCCCAGTCATTCCAAAGCACATGTGACTTTCAGGGAGAATCTGGGCCCCCTAATTCGGCAGGGGCGTAAAATGTGGATTTGGGGCATTTTGTAACATAGCTGGCTTAGGTTTTGGTCCAGCGTCATCAGGATACTATTTTGGATTATTCCGGCCTTTACATTGCCATCTGTTTATTTGCCATGGGGTCCCGATGTGAGCCAGAGTGCAGTCTGATTGGTATACACTAATAAAACAGCTATTTACGTTTACTCTTCACGATTGCTGTGTATGACTGCCATGTATGATTCATGTTCATTATGGCCTATCTACGACCACTAGTTCTCATTCCTATGACTATCATTACAACAGAATTTAACCCAACAGAAAACCCTAAGGTGCACAGGAGCAGTCAAGAATCGCATAAGCTGAGACGCCAATGTCCACAGCTGTTCTGCCGACACCAAAATCGGAGGAGGGTAAATTATCCCCCATTTGGTTGGCAGCGTTTCCGATCGCACCTTCATTGCCCGTCGCTTGCATACCATCGTAAACCTGGCCCCAGCACTTTACGGAGTCATCATCGAGAATGACGCAAGTTGCCCGTCCATAGTGGTAACCCACGAGTTTCTTCGGTGAGTACCTCGGCTTTTGGCTGCTCAGTAATTGGCATTTAGCTTTAAAGAGGCCACAGCTTTTCCAATGCAGCACGGTACGTTGCCAATCCTCCACGTAGGAAGATGCAAACTAGGAGTGCTCTTCCAAACTTCCTTAGCAGCTTTTGAACGCCTTGAGGCTGAACTTTTTCATGTCTATTCTCAAGCTCAAAAAGGCACCTCCTCTAATATCAAGGCACCGCATCTCCTTGCCATTCATATACCGGGTTGAGACTCTTCGTTATTGGGAGGGGGTGGGGGTCTTAATGTCGGAGCATGTTATTGCAAAGTCACACGGAGCCACGGACGTCAGCAAGTCCATGATCAAATGTATAAAGCAGAGGGTCCAGCAACGAGCACGAAAAGGAACCAACTGAGGAGACGGGTTATGGAAAACCAATGGTCGATATGCCACAAAACGGAGGAAAAGAATGGGACAGATTGAGAGAGAGAGAGAGGCGAAACACACAACAGGAACCTTAAATCCTAAACCCTTAGGCTTTACAAGCGGGCAGTCTCCCAAAAGCCTTCTGTACCACCCCCAAGCTATCAAAACCTGCTGGGGGACCCTTATGGGTTTACTTGAACCACCCCAAAATTGCGCAACCTCTATGCTATAGCTTTTTACTAACCCCTAATAGGCACTGAATCCTGAGATCCTGAACCTAAATATCTCTATAGGCTTCTACCAACTCTAAATACGCTCAAAATCCCGAACAAACTAAACCTAAACGCCCTAATGATTAGAATAGGGTTTGGGGGCCAGTGTACTATAATTATCATGAGGAACCCCAAAATAGTAGGTAATTATTCAGGCCCCTATATTGCGGAACCCTGAACCCAATTTTCCCTAGACCCTTAGCATTCCCTAACACCGGTTTCCATGAACCCAAACATCCCTGAGCCCTGAACACAAACAGCCCGGAACCCAACCATCTCCAAGCCTCAAAATCCTAAACCCAAAAGATCCCTAAACCCTAAGCCCTATAGACCCCTAAACCCCAAATTGAAAAAAGGACTCCCCGAGGCCCCTGTCGCATAGACCAGCTTCTTTGGCAGCCTTAGCCGGCCGCTGAAAAAAACCAGCAAGAGGTTCACAGAGGGAACCAGCAAGAGGTTCACAGAGGGGTGTCGTAGGGTGTAGGGTTTGGGCCCTAAACCCTAAACCCTGAACCCTAAACCCTAGGTTTGGGGGATTTTTTGGGAGTTTCCGAGTTGCAGGCGTGAAGTTTCGGGCCTAAAGTTTTGGGTTTTGGGTCCATATCATTAATGTCGGAGCCTTGACAAATGACACTTTGGTTTTGGGGTATATTATACGATAATTATAAGAAGGAGCCCCCCTAAAATAGTATAGGCAACTACTAAGGCCCCTAATTATCTTTGGGTTTTGACGGGGTTGGTTCAAGATTCTGGGACCCGCGCAAAAGGAAGTGTCCTGCAACATAGAAACAAGCTTCGGGCGTTTTCGCAAATTTCTGTCGTGACTGTGAATAAACTGCTCTAGGAGGGAGATACACGAGACACTAATTTTGAGAAGGACCCTATGTGCTTTGGAGAGGATTTCCTGTTTGCTCGCCCTCAAGGACCCTATGTGCTTTGGAGAGGATTTCCTGTTTGCTCGCCCTCAAGGGGGCCAACCGCATGTGCTTTTTCGGGCGCCGGGGGTCCTTTATGGGAAGAAGGGACTCATGAACATTACCAGAACGTGGGGGTCCAGCTTTTTCTACACTCCCAAGTTTACCTCGGGTTGCATACTCTCGGACTCGAGACTCGCCACTTGGAAATGCTTGAGAGACTCAGGTTTTTCGAAGGTGGATTTAAGGTATTTTTCAATTTTCAAAGTTCAATTCATCTAAAGACGGGCAGTTTACATGTGGGCAGTTTCCGTGGTGCCCCCATAAAGGCCCAACAAGTTATGGGAGTGGTCTAGAAGGCCCATAAGGGAGGTGTAAAGAAGGGAAAGACGTGGCTGAGATCGCGGATGATATCGGGGTCCTGAGGACGACATGTGAGCTCACACAGCACGTTTCCATTTAAGTTGGCATGCCCTAGACCCTGAGCCATCAATCCTAAAACCCCAACCTTGGATAGATTTAGGGGCCCTATAAAAATCAAATGTTTTTGGGCTTAGAGGCTTATGTCTTAGGGTTTAGTTGAAAATAAATTTGGGATATATAGGGATTTATGCATGTAAAACTATTCCTGAGGTCTCCATGCAGTGATGAGGATACCCTGGCAGAGAGTAGGGCTCTGATATGATTTCTAATATCCCGAACCTGCATGGGATGTATTCTAACCACTCGTACCGTACAACATCGATTTTTGCCATTTATGACTTGCAGCGCTTCCGGTGTCTCTCGCACCAGCACTCGAAATAGTTTCAAAAAGCCCTTAAGTCCCTTTAGTGTCAGAGGTTTCCCAAACCTTGAATCCGAGACCTATTTCTCACTTGCTATTGTACACCCCTAAGCGCCGCACGACAGCACGAAGAAGAACTCGAACAGCAACGACATCATCCCTTCCCTGCTGCCCTTGCAACAGGGAATGGGTTGTCTTGAAAAACCACTAACACTACTGTTCCCGGAAGCCTCCAATACCTATATGCCAAGGGTCATACTGAAAAGACAGAATAAGCAGGATACATAGAAGATCTGCTGCAAAGTGGCATTCACATTCTCCAGCTAACCTACCTTTGATGTATGAGAACCGTGCGATGACATTGTCCATGGAAGACTGCTGCGTTCGATCTACGATGGGGCTCTGAATGAGCCAGCTGTGCAGCAGCGCCGGGAAATTCCATCTGTCAAACAGGAGTTGTGTGTAACGGATTTCGGGTGAAAGATGCCAGATCTTTGCAGCGAACTAACCTTACCTACCCCTGTGTCTCGTCATGTGTTTTCACTCAACGCTGCCTTCCCCCAAACAGTCATATCGGCGAAGGTTCCGGATAAACTCGGAAGCAGAAGATCGGTTCATCGAGCTCGACTTCTAGTATCATCCCCAAGAACGCACTCTGGCTATCTCCTACAGCAGCAGCTGTGTTTACGAACTCCTTTCTTACAGCTACAATCTGATTTCCCGCGACTGTTTTTCTCACCATCTCACTCTCGCGTGTTGCCAGCGGATTCCAGCAGAAGGCACGACCTGAACAAAAGTTACGCTTGCGATGCCAGTTGTGATCTGTGATTACCGCATTGCAATGATCGACGCTTGTCCTCGTCGATCTGTCTTAAAAACGCTCTTTCCAATTTGGCGAGATGAGTCTTGAATTATCCCTACTGATGTAGCGATTTACCAGCAGCCAAAAGAAGAAGCACATGACGACAATAATCTTCAAACACATACACACACACACAAGAATGACACCACGACTTCAACAGCGACCACTACGACCACGACCACGACGACGGCCGCAGAATCATTCCTTGATATACTGAAAACTGCTGGACATGCTCGAGGCCAAGTAAGTGTCTAGGGTGTATGCTAAAAAGTCATGTGAAGTCGAAGGTTTCCGTGGCGAACATACAACGGGCCACGGGCAGCACTGCATCCGAAAAGAGCAGACGAACAAACGGCAGCTATGGTGAACTCTGGTATGCGCCAGACCCTGCAGTTCATTCTTATTCGCCACTGACCAAATTACTGCCATGGAAGCTTCTACACTAGCCCCTTGACCACAAAGGTACATTCACAACGCTTGAACCTTCGAACATCAACCCTAAACCTTTTATACCCTACACCGCACACCCGAAGCCCCAGACCCTTTACACCTTACACCCTGAACCCCACACCCCAAACCCAACACGTCATACCTGTCAAAATTCGTATAATCATCCCAAGCCATCCCCCGACCTCAAGCCGCGTCACATCCCTAACCCAGCCCCCAACTTTTGGCTGAAGCCCTGATCTCTTCGACCCTGAGGGCCCTCAATACAACCCCCGGACTATCGACCCTCCGGCCGGAGCGCTAGAACCTGAGCGCAAAGTACCAAATCGAACACCAAACCCCCCAGATCACAACCCGAAACCCCAAATCCCAGAGCCTAGACCCAAAATACTAGGCTGGAAACCCAAAGCAAAAAACCCCTAACCCTCACATCTAAACCCAAAACAAAAACCTAAACCCACTAATCAACCCGAGTCACTGAGGCCTCCCACAACGCTTGCACGTCCTGAAGAGAAAAGCTGATAAGGAGAGTGGATCGATGTAGGGTTGAGGGTTTAGGGCTTGGGGCTTGGCATATAGGGTTTTGGAATGCAGGGTCTGGAGACCTTGAAAGTTTCTGGAAGCTCTGGGCACTTCGTCGGAGACAGGTGCTGGAGTTCCTGATCTTGAACTTCGTCGAGCTCTTCGGATCGAAGTGGTCTGTTGCTACGAGATCACCCGTCATGTCGCCATGGCGAATCATGGCCGGCTCGTGTTCCATGCAAGCACCCAAACAGTCCAAAACCCCTAATCCAGCTAAAGTAACAGCAAGATCGGCAAGACAAGATTAGCAACTAGCAACTAGACGACCAAAACGCTGCGGCCCCAACCGTAAACTGGAAACTCCAGGCTCGGAAAGCCTCAAGCCCTAAACTCTAAAAGCCCCAAGCTTAACTCCAGCAGCCCAAGCTTTAATCCTGAACGTCGAGCTCCCTCACCCATCCAGTAGGATTTCTTCCAATCGTAAACCGGCTTGGGGTCGGAGGATTTTGAGACACTTCTTGCGCTGAGGAATCCCTGCACCAAGCCCTGCTACGGCTGCTACGTAAGGTTCATGCATGTGTCGCCTCCGGCACGAACTCCGGGGCATGCACGTTCCACTGGAACCTGGGCGCCACTGAGCTCGTGCTTTGGGCGGGTTGGGGTTTTGATTAGGTGCTGGCGGTTACAGGGTTTGTATCTTTGACCTCTCGACAGGAGCTGGCTCTCGAGACCTTTTGTAGACCTCTAACCCCGAATTCATGCTTCAATAAACATGATAAGTTAATCTGCTGCGGAGAGTGTCACGGAGAGTTTGTAAGTCCAGGCTCGGGGTTCTTGAGGAGTTCACGGCTGTTTTTGGGCTTGCTCGGGATCATAGGGGCAGTTGATGGCGGCGAGGGTTCATTCCAAGGACTTTGGGTTCGTT